GGGATCATGACCCGAGCTGAAGGCAGATGCTTAACGACTGAGCCACCCAGGCGTCCCTAATCTTAATCCTTTTTATGTAACCTTTTTTTCTCTAGAAACTTTTGGGATCTTCTCCTTCTTTCTCGTTTCCTGAAATATCCTGATGATGTGCAGTACTACAGACTTTTTTTTTTTTGTCCTCCCCAATTATTTTTGGCACTCACTGGGCCCCCTGTAGACATGTGTCCTTCAGTTCTGAGAATGTTTTTTCATATTTCTTGATAATTTTTTTTATATTGTTTCTGCAACTCCATTAAAAGATTGTTGGACTTTCTGTGACCCTAGTTTGTCTTTTTATTCTGTTTTCTTGGAGGTATTTTCAACTTCATCCTTAAATTGAAATTTTAATTTTTATATTTTAAGTTTGTTCTCTGATTTTATCCTAAAGCATCCTTATTTTGTAGAAATAGATTGTCTCTCAGAGAATACTATTAATTTTAGTTTTTTGATATTTTAAATGCTTATAGTCAGGTATTATTTCTAATTAAAGGCCTATGCTTAATGTTTTAAAATGTTATTTCAAAAAAGTGTTAGAAGATTACAATGCTGTCACTGCTCTTTTTGGTGTCTGAATTTTGGCATTTAAAAGCAAAACACAGAAGGATACAACATTTTCTTCTTTTGAAAAGAGGTTTTCTTCCTTGACTTTCTCTAAATTGTTATTTTTCCCCCCTTAATAGACCATTAATACTGTATCAGAAGTTATTCGAGGCTACCAAGTAAACCAGGACTACTTTGCTTCTGTAAATGCACCTTCAAACCCACCAAGGTAGGCAAAGGGAAATCTTGAGAGTCCCTCCGAGGAAGTCAAAACTTACTCTGGGTTTTTAGTATATCTCGTATGTACCTCTTATTCTCTTAAGTTCAACTGTCTCTTTTGAGACTAAAAATTATCTGACGAGATAAACATGTTGCTATTTTTAAAGAGTTTTTGTGGTCCTCGGAGCTTAGGTATTTGGGCTCAGATATCACTCTTCCAACTCCTCTTCCGTGCCTTAAGCAAACAGATCACTTGTCTACGCTGCAGTTCTCGTTCCTGTGAAATGGAGATGGAAATAGTAACTTGCTAGACTTCTGGTTGTGCTTCTACAGTCAGCAGCAGTGACTGGTTATTGATTTGTGCACTTGAGTTGCAATGTTTCTTTTTGTTCTTTTCTTTTTAAACACAACAGACCGGCAATTGTAGTTCTTCTCATGTCCATGGTCAACGAAAGGCAGCCGTTTGTACTGCGCTGTGCTGTTCTCTATTGTTTCCAGTGTTTCTTATATAAAAACCAGAAAGGACAAGGAGAAATTGTGTCTACGCTTCTACCTTCCACTATTGATGGTAAATAATTTTGTTCTAATTTCTGTTTTAAAATGTAAATAGTCTTTCAAGCTGTTAATGATAAAATATATCCTAAATGATGAAAGACCCTGGATGTAGTAGAATATTTAAAATATGGCATTTCCTTGAATTTGCTTTAGAAATGCAGTTTTTAGTTAAGACAGCAATTTTCTGGAATATCATCTCATCAATTTGATGCCTAAAATGTTCTAATATTTCTTTGTCCTGCTACCCTTCTTCCAAGGTTCTTTTTGTCATCTTTCATTTTGTTTTGAAAAGCAGACTTTTACACATGTAACTTAATACTGCTGATTAACAAATTTTAAAAGAGTATTTTGTACTGTTCGTGTGTGTCTGTAAAACAGCATTTGATTTTGTATTATCATCTGCCTGCCATCTTTGTAGCAACAGGTAACTCAGTCTCAGCTGGTCAGTTACTCTGTGGAGGTTTATTTTCTACTGACTCACTTTCCAACTGGTGTGCTGCTGTGGCCCTTGCCCACGCTTTGCAAGAAAACGCTGTCCAGAAAGAACAGTTGCTCAGGGTTCAACTTGCTACGAGTATCGGCAACCCTCCAGTTTCTTTATTACAACAGTGCACCAACATCCTCTCACAGGTAATGTGGCGAGTGGAACTCTTTAAGCGGGGGAAGGTCCTAGCTGTACATTTTTATGTCAGTGGTACAAGGATTTAGGAAAATCCTTAGTAGATGCAGGTGAAAAAAGAAAGTGGTGTGGACTTATCTGCTCATTGGCTCATTGTAACCAGAAGCAGTTTGTGGAGAGAAATCAATGAATGTTCTTACACGAATGGTTTTGCCAAATAGTTAATAAGGTCTGCTTCATGATAGAAACGCACACTCTGGACAGAAAGGTGTTTCGTTTTTCTTTCTGTTTCCTTTTACATTATCCACAGTGTTCTTGCATGTCCTCTTCTTCTGCTCTGTAGCCAAATTTGGGTCCGTTTATAAGAGGGCATAGAACACAGTGGTTCATAGCTGTGTGCCTCCCTCCTTCTCTTCCCAAACCAATCAATCTTCCTTTCAGGAAACAAAGGTAGAATACCAGTCCATCGCTTATATAGTTAACCATTGTACTCCTTGATGTTTATGCGCTCTCAAATCTTCAAAACCCTAAGGCACATAATTTAGCTAGTAAGATAGAGAAAAATGTAACTGTTTGCATTCCTCTAATGAGAACAGCAAAGCTTCATTGAAGTGTGGATGCAAAGGTATTTAGGAATGTCACTTACTCTTGGATGATTTGTCCCCATGCACCAGCCTTGCTGTTGAACAGTTCAGGTTTACTCTTTAGCAAAACCACAGTCATCAACATTCAGAATCACTCAGAGTAAAAATGTACTTAAGTCTAAAATTGTGCTGTGCCCTGGAATTTTCCAATTTTCCTGCCTCCCTCTCTGTGATAAGGTCCTGTGTCCTTATTAATTTTTAATTTTGTCACACTCGTTGAATTGTTTTACTGTGAGCTTTTAAAGAGACATCAGTGCCATCCACAGGAAGCAATAAATTAAAGGTGAAGAATTATGAAGAATTAACTATAGTGAAAAGAGGGTTGTACACTCCCTTTGTTGTTTAAAATCTGTTTACTTAGACTGAAAGCTTATTTTATCTTGGAGTTACCATTTATTTCTCAGTGATTTGAAAAAACTACCCCCAAATATTCATATCCTTATGTATTTAATACTTGTCATTCTCATGTTGCTGTCTTTTGAAAACAGCTTCTCGTAAGCCAAACAGCAATTAACTGACCACTGCCACCAGAGAGCTTGCTCTGACATTGTTTCACAATTAATGCATAATGAGAAATTCTCAAGATAGTGGTGTCTTCCCACTCTGAGTCATCACAGTGCTATAAAACTGATCCTTTCACCTCCAAAATGTAGATGCATTGTTACATAATAAAAGATTTGAACTGTCCTGTCCCAAAGTATTGGTTTGGGTTTGTAGAGACCATCTGTGAGGGATTTTTCTAGATTTAAATTTTTCTAAAGCAGTAATATTTATGAGTAATTTGTATTGCAGGGTGATAAGATCGACAGACGGGTATGTATTGCTTGTTTAAGCTTAGGCATTTCCCTCTTACAACAAGGCTTTTCTTTGTCTTGGGTTTTGCTGATGGTTTTTTTTAACTGCTTGTTTGAAGTTGTACTCTACTCACACTTTCATGCGTCAGCAAGTTTCTCTCTATCGTAAGTGGCTCTCCAGTTTTTCTCCGTGGGATGTTTTCTCCATGTAGTGGTGTTACTAAGAACTGTGGGAATGAGGCTGAAGCTGTACTTGCGCTTCCTTTGGGTATGCTTGCACTTTCTGGAATTCCTTGGTTTGGGTTTTTTTGTGTTTCTTCACCTAAGCTTGTTTATTTCCTCCTGAAACCATTTCGAAGCTAGTAAAATTCAGGGTGAAGAATTTTGTCTTTAGCTAGTCAGTACATGAAAGAATATGATGCCTTTTATATTAAATTATTGAAAATGTACAAGAGTAAGTATAATTTTGTAATTTGAAAGATTTTTGAGTTCAATATTTGAGATTTTGAGTTAAATATTATGGGTTATTCTGGACGTAACCCATATGGTACAGTTACCATTGGGGGTTAGTTTTTGATGTGTGTGGGGGAGTGTGATTTGTGTTTGGTTTTGGTTTTTTTTTTCTTGTGGAGTGTTTGGCAAAAATGGAGTGTACCTTAATATTTATGTTTGGTCATATGTTCCATTGTGCAGTGTTGACAGTAATAAACTGAAGTCCTGTTACGAATTGTATCTTTGTGTATAAGCATGACTTAATACCTGTTAATCACCCACACTGACATACTTGGCAGCTTTAGCTTCCAGAATTTTTGATATTAGGTATTTTAAAAGTATACATGTCAATCATTTAGAAGGGAATTTTTTGGAAGTATAACTTATACACAGTAAAATGTACAGACCTTAAGTATTCAGTCAGATGATTTTTGATGGGTGAATATACCTTTGTAACCACCACCCAGAATAAGATGTAGAACATTTTCATAATCTAAGTTCCATCATGCCCCTTTCCCATTAATTCTCTATTCCCAGAGGCCACTGCTAGAAAGTGAATCTAATCATAATACTCTAGAACCTCACTGTAATACTTGAAGAGTAGAAGTTTCAAGTGTTAGCTTTTTGTATTTTTATAAACAATGTAAAATACTAAACTTGAAATCCACAAAGTAGGAATAAGAGGGATTTTTATTTAGAAAATAAT